GTGACCTTTGGCTATTTCCCAAGCTGAAAATGTCGCTAAAAGGAACCTGAATTTAGTCGAGAGAAGACATTGTGCGGAATCCGACGGACCGGCTGATGGCCATTCCAAAAGATGTGTTCCAGCAGTGTTTCCAGCAATGGCAGGAACGCTGGGAGAAGTGTATACATTACCAAGGAGACTACTTTGAAGGGGATTAGGGTTTTTGTACCTCAAAGTCAATAAATTTATTTTTGCCGATCAAAGGTCCGATACTTTTTGAACACACCACGTATACGTACTGTACATATAAGACCTAATTTGTAATAAAACAGTGCTTCTCTTGGTAGAGAGATCTTAAGTATTTAAAAATACTTAGATATTAAATTAATTTTCAAATTTTTCATAATAAATTATAAAATGTTAATGATTCATATTAGTCTGAATTTATTGTCTTTAATTATTGTATTTTTAACGGAAGTAATCTTTTAAAAATAAAGCTATTAATATTGCAAACTGTAGTGCATGATCACATTTTGTAATGGTAAACTTAAAATATTTATCTCATAAATAACATTTTAAAAATTGAAATTAAATTATCTATAACTTTAAAAAATATAATTTTGCAAATTTTAACTCTTAAAATTTATTGACTCACATGTCCTAAAAAGTTATCTTTCAATCCTTTTGATGATGCTTTCGTAAAAGGTGAAGCAGTGGGAGAACGTGACCAAACGCCAAGATTTAAAAAATGATGATGATTAGTGATATTAAATAAAAACTTTTCATTCCAAACTGGATCCTTAAAAATTGATTTTTAAATATTTTTATGATAATAAGAGTTCTAAAATATAATATAAATTTATAAACATAAATTTATTTATAAACTTACCTGCACTGCTTTTATTAAGAGTGTCTTTTTCAAGTCAACATTTTGTGCTTTTTGTGACTCTATGTTCTCTACAATATTTTCTTTAGAACTGTTTAATTGATCAAGTACATCTGTGTCTTTTACAAAACGATCCTTTAAGTCAGAATTTTCAAATTCATCTCCTGAACTTCTTCTTTCAGTTGATTTAAATTCTTGTACAATACCTATGGATTAATGTTTTATAAACGAAAAAAAAAAAACTATATAATATTCAAATATTTAAATCATTTGATAGTCGTAATATATAAACAATGATTACAAATTTATATAAAAACCTCTGTTAAATTAAATATATAATATTGACGACATCTGACATTCACACCAGATGTCATCAAAGGGTTAACTCCTTCCCTCTTCGGACATCCAAAAAACTCAATCTCCTTTGAAATCTTTATCACTTTATGAATAATAAAATGTATAAACTGTGAAAAATTTAATGAAATAAAATAGCTGTCCACTGAAGTTCAACTCCCCCCCTCTTGTCCAACTTTGTCTAAATCATCATAATTTCCTCCCTCCCTTCCAGTGTGGACATCATTTATGAACAGCTCCTTACATGAAACATGTGTTAGCAAAAAGATACCTTGAAAAAGTTTTATCTAGATTAAAAAAAGTCAATTTATTCATTTCTATTCCAAACTGTAAGCTTTTATTGCATTTATTTATTTTACTTTTTATCCTTTGATTTATTTATTAAAACTATAAATTATCATCATCTTATTTTTTATAAAAATACATAATATAATCGCAATGTTTCTTATTAGTCTGGCCTTTAAAATAAAGGACTTGGATAAAACCTTTTCAAGATATCTTTTTGCTAACACATTTTTCATATAAGTGAATTTTTGTATGTAAAATTTTAAAAAATATGCTTTTATTTATTTATTTTTCTTATATTTATATAATTATCTAATATTAATATTATCTTAGTCTGTCCTTTAAAATAAAGGACAGACTAAGATAATATGTTGCCACTGCCAATATTTTTTGACATACAATTTATTCTCTTTATTTTCATTTTTTTAAAATTTTTTATCCTTATCTTTAGAGTAATATTAAATGTATATAATCAACAACATTTATAATTACAATTTTTTATAAATACATTATTGATAAATTATCCTATATATTCATGATATACTGTATTTCCAGTTCTACAGGCATTTGTTGTATTCATCATGTTTTGCATTGCATATCATCAGTAAAATCAGAAGTATGTGTAAATCCACTTTTTATTAAATATAGGATTTTAACACCTTCAAATGGTAGAAACTAATACCTTTGTTGTATCACTTGTGGATTCATATGAAATGTAAATAAATATAAATTCAATAGCTGGAAAATTTTATCCACAGTGTATGTGTAACTTTCAAAATACAAAGTTTAATTAATCTCCTGTAAAATTTGTTGAAATGGAGTTATACAATTTTCTTCTTTCAACATTGATATTGCTTATTATTGATAAATTAATTAAATTTTAAAATATGAAAAAAATGTTTAAAACATATTTGTTTTATTTTAACTTCTATTTTACTCAAAATTAAATTGAAAAGAAATCTTCAATGATATTGAGAAAACTTATATTTAAATTGCTGCAAAAAGTAAATTATACGATTTAATGGAATTACCTCCAACTGATACTCTTCTTTTAGGTGATTCATTTGTCGTAAGTGTATTTTCAGTAACTGAAGTCTTTCTTTTAGGAGATTCTTGAGATCCAACATCTTTAAAAGTGATATTAACAAAATCATCAACTACTGAAGTTTGAAGTGTAACATCTTCAAGATCATCTTCCTAGTTATAAAAAGATTAGTTAGTTATCAAATACATTTTTTTCAAATTCATAAATTTTTTTAGTGACATTAAAAATATTCGTAGTTTTTTAAAATATTTCCTAATAAATAATTAGTAATAGTAACAAACATTACATGAAGTAATATTTCACTATCCACAATAATCAGTAACACAAATTTCATAAGTTTATTTTCTTTTTAATATTGTTTTTTATGATTTATTAAAAATTAAATATAGGACACTTCCGTGTTGCGGTGTTATTGACAGCAATCTGTTAAATTTCAGATATGCTCGCTAGTACTTTCAATAGTTTACAACCGTCATCTTCAGGTGAAATTGAATACCTTTGTTTTCAAAGTGACAGCTTTTAACTGACTTTTCAAATTACATAATGCATGTGGTTGAAATGTATAACAAATTAATAAAAATTGAATAAATAAATATTTTTAAAGAAACATGCTGTAATAACTTGAACTCCCCAAAACATATAAATATTGAGTAATGGTGCCGTGCATAGTAGTGGAATAAAATCAGATCACAAAATTATAACTTTGATTGTTTAAATAAAGTTATCCATAGCTGTGGTATTTCCAATGTCGGCGCATTACACGGCAAAGCAGCAGATATGTAAAGGTTTTCCCATATGAATATTTGTCTACAATCATTGCAATGCTTAAGTAATTTAATGTGGTTCCAAAGTGGAAGATAATCTTGGTCTAGAACCTTTTTTGCTAATTCTGTAGTTGGTCTGTTATTTCTATTGTCCTCTTGATGTTCAAAGATGCGGAACCGTATCATTCTGGTGGTAGCTCCAATATAGATAATTTCCTCCCGATATTGTATGTTTTAATGTAATTTTATAAACCCCCGATTTTTCATTCAACGTGAGAATGTCTCTATCATTGTACAATGCTCTTCGTAGTGATGGTTGAGGAGTTATAGGTAATATAAAACCATGCTTCCTGAATATTAGTGAAATGGTGCCCGAGTACGGTATTAGAGGATTTATTATCTTTAGGCTTTCTTTGTTGAGGAGGGAAGATTTTGGAAACAATCTGTTTATGACCCGGTTGTAGAGATATCGATATTTGGAATTAGAATCCAAATGTTTCCAAAATCTTGGGCACCATCTCACTAAAAAATTTCTTAATTTTAATCTATTTTTATTTTATTGCTTTCTATTAATTATTTAATATTCCATATATTCTTCTATGTCAGAAATATATTAATGAATATTATATTATATTTAATGTACAGAAGATCTTAAAAATATTTTAAATTTTATCGTATTTTCACAGAATGGCATGCCCCATATAAATGGGGGAGACAAACATGTCAGCTAAATTGTGACTAAAATATAAAATTAATCAGATCTAACAAAACTAGTTGTTAATTAAATGTTAAAGAAAACATTCTTCCGAGTACAATAAAATAATTGCATTGTAATTTGACTGACTTAAAATCAAGAAAATAGTTTTCGTTTACAACACAATAAAATAATTAACAACTTATTGACAGCAGCAGCAGCAGCAGGGCTACTCTCACCATCTACCCAGACCTTAAAAATATCACACAAAGCCATGTTAATCTGTGTAAACTGAGATAATTTACAGTGATTTTCTTAAATTTAAAATATGTTTATTTTTGCATTTTTGAATAAATAACCATAAAATTCACATAAAAAAGCACTTTCAAAATTCCATGAGTGTTTTACGTTGTTAGAAAGAAGATAAAATGAAGAAATTAAACATATAATCATAGTTTTTAATGTAATGCCGACAACTGTTTTGCAATTTTAGAATAAAATCTTGTTTGTTTTACGTGATGTAGTTCATTTGTTTTTTTTAATGAGCTCTCTAGAGAGGGGTGCATAATCTCACTTAAACTGGCATGCCAGTTTTTACCATAAGGAAATATCTGATTTCATGGTCTCCCTCAGATAGACTGACATGCTGGACAATTCACAAAAATACAGTGTTATGTAAAAAACAGAAAAATGAACTAAAAATAGAACAGTGTTTAGAATGGGTAATGATTAAAATTTACATAGAAAAAATTATAATAATAATATATACCTTTAAAAGCTAACAAACAGAATTTTAAATATTTCAATTAGCTTTATATTTTTGTTTGGAATATGTAACTTACTCGTAGTAAATCTTCTTCTAACAAGACCTCTCTGTTAAGAGCTTCTTGAGATCTAGAAACTTTAAGAGTAGATTGTCTCTCAACAGACAACAAAAATCTGTAAAATAATCACAATTATTAATTTTATTCATAACAACATTTAATACAATGTATTTTTAAATATTTTAACTTACCTTTCTCCCATATTTTTTAATATTTTTGTAGCATGTTTAACATCACAAACTTTTGTCCCTCCAATAGATATTATAATATCATTCTATATAATTAAAAAAATTTGAAGTGAAAATATCATTCAATAATATATCAATGACAAAGTAAACAATATATAGAAAAATAGAGCATCAATAAATCAAGAATTTCTGTAACAACATTATAAGCATTGAATATGAAAATACAAGCAAATAAAATTAAATTTACATGAATTATAAAGTCCCATAAATTATTATAAAATAATAAAATTAAATTATTGTTTTTAACTTGAATCTGAGATCTATCAAATTTTTTATATGATACAATAAAAAAATTTTTAAATGGCAATAAAATGTATAGTTTATTGTATTATTTGCAGATGAGCAAAAGTAAATGTAAACTGTTCAATATTTCTAATTTTCTAAATCCACAATTAAAAGTGAAAGCTACAATATTGTGAAAACTACAGAAAAAATATTCATAGAAAAATAACAAAGACTTGTTATAAACATTTTAAACTTAAGTTTTATTATGCAATTCTTCATTTTATCAAAATCTTCTTTTTGTTTTTCATTTTCATAAAGTGTTACAAGTATTTATTTATAAATATTGTTTCAATACTTTGTATTTGTTTATAATACACTGTAAGTATATTCCTTTATTTAGTGCTTTAATGATAGAAAAGTTCCTGAAAACATTTAGACATCACATAATGTGAAATGATAATGACTTTTAAAATGAAGCCATTTGTTAAACAGAAAATGTAATATAATTACAAACATTTAAAATATTAGAATAAATAAACTAGACATTCATTTTATAAGTGATGATTAATATTCTGAAATTAATATTATTATAATATTAATATTCTGAAATTAATATTAAAATGATTAGATGTATAGCATTTGAAAAAAACTATAGAAAGAAACTGACTCTTCAAATGACTAAATTTAATATTCCTAAAATTTAACAATATTTTTCAGAAGCTAAATAAGGCATGAAAGAATCTGAAAATAGTTCCATAAATTTATGGAAATGTTTAAACTGAATTGATTTGTTGATAGAAATAATGCAAGCATTCAAATAATTTAAATGCAATATAAGTTATAACTTACTTTTATAAGTAAATTATAACTTATGTAAGTATTATATTTATTTTTACTAAACAATATAAGTATTGAACTTACTTTTTTAATACCAGCTACAGCTGCAGGTGAATTTGGTATGACACTTTCTACAACAATACAATAGTCATATTTTCCAACAATAAATTCCTAATAAATTAAAAACAACATTAATTATATTTTAACAGAAATATGAAAGTAAAATATATTTTTCAAACTGAATTTTATTTGTGTTTTCATACTACAATAATTTAATAACTATCTTAACTTATTATATACAGGTATCCTTGTATAAAGCAGAAGTTAGGTTCCACAAAATGTCACATTATAAAAATTGCATTATGCAAGACTCATATTACATATAAAAAGTGAGGTTGCATTCCAAAACAATCTTTTTGAATATAAATTTTATCTATCAAGTAAATAAAAACAGTTTTATTTAACTGAGAAAATTTTATTTAGCAGAACATGAATTACAAAACAAAAAGAAACTTATTAAAGTTCTTAATATAAAGAATTGCACATAACAATCTTTCATACATACAAAAAATAAATTTTCAAAATATGTCACTAATATTCTTTATTAGTCAATGACCAGATGGCTTCACTGAAAACCTTTTGGATATTGCTCTCTTTCAATTTCTTTGGATTCTTCAACTGGTTTAGTTGTCAAGAAGTCAGTTAGAGGTCTGCTGAATGTTCTGTTGCAAATTGTTTTCAATGTTTCTTATATAGTGCTAAATAAATTTCTGATTGTCTTTGAATAAGATAAACAAATGATTTCATACGAAAATTCATATCAAAATTGCATTGTTTAAGCACCACATTATANTGCCTTCGCCTATTTGTAAAAGTTTTTGAGCAAAATGTTGTTTATAAACAAGTATTGTAAATAGTTAGAATATGTTTTCAATAAAATTTTTTTACGTCTTATATTTTAAAGTTTATCCTTTTATTCCAACTACCACACAATCTCATATCAACTCCCTGAGCGAAGCTGGGTACCCCAGCTAGTTCAGAATATATTAAGCCAGCAAAATTTTCAACATTATTATAGATAGCATACATGTAATATTAAATGCTGAAAATCAACAAATAGTTTATCATCAATTATTATATTTCCTTGAATAAGCATCTGGGCACTTATGGCACTTATTCATTTTGACAGATCAAATCCACAGTGCTTATTCAAGACCAGTAACTATTTAAGACCTGATGCTTAATTTTTACAGTTGATTACTTTGACTACTGTAATTCACATTGTTTTAATATGGTAATATAATTTTTAGTCAAAAAAACATCAGACTCCCTACTGCTAAATTATAAAAGCAACTACAGTAAAACCTTGTTATTTTGGACCAATGGATCAAAAAAACACAACTTTGAATTATCCAGGTTCAAATTATCCAAACTTTTTTTTGAATCAAAGTTTTTTGTAATTTTTGAATAAAATTATGGCATTATCTCATATACTAGTTCATTTAAAAATGCATTATTATTTTATGATAATAAAACAACAAATATTTTTATTGTTTTATTACCATAAATTAATAACAAAAATAATTATTTTATTCAATTTATTGTTTGATTTTCTCAATAATCCAATTAATCTCAGTACAACTATTGACAAACATCAGTAGAAGACAGCCATTTTATAGGTATTATTCTTGTATGAAGGAAGACATTATATCCTTGGTACAAGAATAATACCATATGTGAGAAATGTGCAACAGCCCATTTTCACATGAATTTTCCAAAAATGGAAACAAATTTTTTATAGAAACAGTCTCAGCAAACTTGTATTTTACTGTAGTCTAAAATGAAACACATTCAATACTGATGATGTAAAAATCTGCAAAATTTTGCAAATTTTTAACTTTAACATGATTCAAATAGTGTCCTGGTGCTTATTTGGTACATTAAAGTAAAAGGCAAGTGCTTATTCACTTCCATGTGCCAAAATTCCCAACAATTATTCAAGGTAGGTAGCTAATTCTGTCACAGAGCTATTTTAAGGAAATATGGTTAGATAATAATATTCAGCTTAAAGATATAAATCAGTAGGGACAGCAGCTATCTCAACTTTAATTATAAGTAATATCTCCAATGCAGAAAGATGTTTTTGAAGTTAATAAAGATTGCAACAATAAGATTGAGTTGAGAGAAAATATCAAACAGAGAGAGTATTTAACATGAAAGAGAGGTAAAATCAGCACAGTAAAAATAACTTGTATATAAATATAAACAGGAAAAGAATAATGATCTTGTTAAATAATTGTAAAGACAATAATTCTACTAAGAAATGAAAACCTCCAATGAATCCTCTCTTTTGTTAGGATTATACAAAAAAAATAAAAGTTTAAATGAATGGATCAACTTATGGAGGATGATCCAGAAGCTGACTATCGATTTCTCCCAGAAGATAATTTCAAATTAAATAATAATTATAAATAAAAAATGTAAAATTATCCTACAAATAGAGACAAGTTAAAAATTATGCTATTTATTTTCACGATCAAAAAGACAAAATCCTTCATAATATATTTAAACTCAATACAGTTTGTTTAGTCACATGCTAAATTGAAAATTGCTCTAAAGATAGGTTGTTTTTAATACTTTGAAAATGAATGTTATTCATAATATTTGAAAATACTATTGTTTTATGAATGCGTTTGTTATTCATTTTAATAAAGCAACTTAAGTTATATTTCTTATAAATGACTGAAAGAAGTGTTTTAAGATATTTTAAGCATTATTATTAAATTATCAAAATTAAATAACTTACCTATGACCTGACTGTGAATCTGGTGGTTGTAATCTAAAAGTCTGAATATGATAGCCTTGTGTTGTTGTACTACATTCTTCTAAAATGGGCATCAATGGTACACTAATCTAATAGAAAATATTTTAAGTCAAAATAAATTTTGCTTAAATATAAAGCTTACATTGTCAAATTTTAAAGTATGAAAAATATATGTTTTAAGGCTTTGATAATTTTATTTGTATATAAAGTTATCAAATGATCATCAATCAGATCTAATTATGGAATGCAATATTGGTTTCTAATATGCTTAAATACTGGTATTTCATGCTATCTTTTATGATCAAATTACAGATATTTTTATTAGATTATTTTTATTGATATTTTGTCTTTCTAACTTCATATTGTAGAATTAAAAATTGATTTTTTAATTTTGCTATGTGTAAACACAAATTATTTAAGTGGCAATACACATGGTGCTTACAAAAAGCAACAATGTACTCATTGAGTGCTGAAATTTTCAAAAATCAAGATTAGTTACACTTTATGACTAATTAATGAACAGCTTCTCAAATTCAGTGTTCACAAATTGTCCATGAAGTGTCACATTGACACATAATAGTAAATATTGCATCAAATGCTGTCCACTGCAGAGCATAGTTTATATAATTGAAGTTCTCTAATCTTTGGATGTTTTCCTTGTCATAAATTGATTAATTATTTTAAAACACTGCTAATATTAATATTAGCAGTGTTAATACTGCTAATATTAATATTAATATTAATAGTCAATAATAAAAATACACATACTTATATTTATCAATTAAACCAAATTTTTAATTAATAATTTTAGAACATCTAGAAGGAAAGATTGATCCAGATTGAGATTCAAACTTGCAACTGTTGCAACAGATATACGAGGTCTGTTCAAAAAGTATCAGACCTTTTTTTTTCCGCGTAAACCAATGATGCACGAGAGGCCTCCTTCGGTGGAGTTGTGGAGGGGACAGTCATGCACAGCCCCGAATTTTTTCCCACCTGCAGGAAGCATCAGTCATTGGCAATCGGCCTATGAGTGAGGTCATGTAGCGCACTCTCATCGGATTCCACTAAGCTGGAAAATGACTGAACAACGTGAGCAGCAATATTACATCAAATTTTGCCAAAAACCTTGGCGATACCCGAGCGTAAACCATTCGCAAGATTCAGCAGGCTTTTGGGGATGATCCTCGAGGCCAAAAAAAGCGCAGCAGGTCCGCAGCAATATCAAAGGTCATGTTGACAGTTTTTTCGACTGTCATGGGGTGGTGTGTCATGAGTACGCACCACAAAGCCAAACCATCACAAAGGAGTACTACCAGGAGGCCCTTCGTCGTCTTTCCGATACAGTGCGACGCAAATGACCGGATCTGTGGTCGATCAAAACTTGGCAGCTCCATCGTGATAACGCATCCGCCCATTCTGCGCATCTGATTCAGGCTTTCATCGCCAAACACAATACTCCTGTGNCATCACAAACTTTTGTCCCTCCAATAGATATTATAATATCATTCTACATAATTAAAAAAATTTGAAGTGAAAATATCATTCAATAATATATCAATGACAAAGTAAACAATATATAGAAAAATAGAGCATCAATAAATCAAGAATTTCTGTAACAACATTATAAGCATTGAATATGAAAATACAAGCAAATAAAATTAAATTTACATGAATTATAAAGTCCCATAAATTATTATAAAATAATAAAATTAAATTATTGTTTTTAACTTGAATCTGAGATCTATCAAATTTTTTATATGATACAATAAAAAAATTTTTAAATGGCAATAAAATGTATAGTTTATTGTATTATTTGCAGATGAGCAAAAGTAAATGTAAACTGTTCAATATTTCTAATTTTCTAAATCCACAATTAAAAGTGAAAGCTACAATATTGTGAAAACTACAGAAAAAATATTCATAGAAAAATAACAAAGACTTGTTATAAACATTTTAAACTTAAGTTTTATTATGCAATTCTTCATTTTATCAAAATCTTCTTTTTGTTTTTCATTTTCATAAAGTGTTACAAGTATTTATTTATAAATATTGTTTCAATACTTTGTATTTGTTTATAATACACTGTAAGTATATTCCTTTATTTAGTGCTTTAATGATAGAAAAGTTCCTGAAAACATTTAGACATCACATAATGTGAAATGATAATGACTTTTAAAATGAAGCCATTTGTTAAACAGAAAATGTAATATAATTACAAACATTTAAAATATTAGAATAAATAAACTAGACATTCATTTTATAAGTGATGATTAATATTCTGAAATTAATATTATTATAATATTAATATTCTGAAATTAATATTAAAATGATTAGATGTATAGCATTTGAAAAAAACTATAGAAAGAAACTGACTCTTCAAATGACTAAATTTAATATTCCTAAAATTTAACAATATTTTTCAGAAGCTAAATAAGGCATGAAAGAATCTGAAAATAGTTCCATAAATTTATGGAAATGTTTAAACTGAATTGATTTGTTGATAGAAATAATGCAAGCATTCAAATAATTTAAATGCAATATAAGTTATAACTTACTTTTATAAGTAAATTATAACTTATGTAAGTATTATATTTATTTTTACTAAACAATATAAGTATTGAACTTACTTTTTTAATACCAGCTACAGCTGCAGGTGAATTTGGTATGACACTTTCTACAACAATACAATAGTCATATTTTCCAACAATAAATTCCTAATAAATTAAAAACAACATTAATTATATTTTAACAGAAATATGAAAGTAAAATATATTTTTCAAACTGAATTTTATTTGTGTTTTCATACTACAATAATTTAATAACTATCTTAACTTATTATATACAGGTATCCTTGTATAAAGCAGAAGTTAGGTTCCACAAAATGTCACATTATAAAAATTGCATTATGCAAGACTCATATTACATATAAAAAGTGAGGTTGCATTCCAAAACAATCTTTTTGAATATAAATTTTATCTATCAAGTAAATAAAAACAGTTTTATTTAACTGAGAAAATTTTATTTAGCAGAACATGAATTACAAAACAAAAAGAAACTTATTAAAGTTCTTAATATAAAGAATTGCACATAACAATCTTTCATACATACAAAAAATAAATTTTCAAAATATGTCACTAATATTCTTTATTAGTCAATGACCAGATGGCTTCACTGAAAACCTTTTGGATATTGCTCTCTTTCAATTTCTTTGGATTCATCAACTGGTTTAGTTGTCAAGAAGTCAGTTAGAGGTCTGCTGAATGTTCTGTTGCAAATTGTTTTCAATGTTTCTTATATAGTGCTAAATAAATTTCTGATTGTCTTTGAATAAGATAAACAAATGATTTCATACGAAAATTCATATCAAAATTGCATTGTTTAAGCACCACATTATACAAGGATTGCTACAGTTTATGAACAACATTATATTGAAACTGTGTTGTATATGTACCTATTATACAAGGTTATCTATATATGAATGTGAGTTAGTGAGACACAAAAATGATAATGCTAATCTCAGCACCATCTATTGTTCACTTTTTAACTAATTTAAAAAAGTTAATTTTATATTAAAAAGACATTATTTTTCTTGCTAACATTTAAAGTCAAAAAGTTATTTTTATAGTACTAAAGTACTAAAATGATTTCTATTTTCAATTGAATTTGATATCCAATATATTTCAATTTTACCGAATATTTCTGCTGTAGTCTAATTTATTTCCCATAAAACCTTTCTATCATGTAAAATGATAAAGTAATTTCTTTGGAAACATGAATTGAATGATTCTACTTAAATAATAAGAAAAAATGGAAAATTCACATATCAACCACAGGAAATAACATTTTAAATTTATCTACAACATTCTGTAATGGACATGTGTGTCCCTATATTTCACTTTTCAGCCAAAACTACACATCACACATGAATGGTGTTTGTATGTGGTAGTAGCCCCAAGTCTCCATTCGTGCACTATGGGGGTTGCATCTCAATAGCTTTAAGGGTGCAGGAGATATGGGGACTTAAAGTGGTTGACTTCGAAGATTTTCTATTTCAATTTTAAAAATGTTCGAACCGTTTTAAATTCAAATTTGTATTCAAATTCAAATTCAAATTGGTTCGATTATAGAATGATTGTAAACATTCCAGAAAATTGATCAAATTGAAAATAGTTCATTTGACTGGACGTAAAAATTCTCTAATTAGTCTGGAAACGGGGGACCTAATTCTTGCATTCTGTGCTATAAGGATGTGGGAGATATGGGGTTGAAAGTGGTTGACTTCGAAGATGTGTAACAATGGAAGTGTCAATAATGGAAGTGTCAACAATAGAAGTGTTAACAGTGGAAGTGTTAACAATGGAAGTGTTGAGTAACAAAGGAAGTGTTAATATAAAGCAGCATGCAAGATTTATGNCAAAGCGAATAAAACAAATTTAGACTTGAACTTAATTCTATTTTATTATATTTTCTGAGTCGCACAAAAAATAATTCGATACTTTTTCTAAATACAGGCAATTTAAAACAAAAGTATAGTAACGATATAACACACTGATATTACTTTTTAATCTTATACCCGTTTTGCACTTTGCATCGTTTTATATCGCGCTAAAATCTTTGCCTTTCTTTCTTCCTAGTAATTATTCACTCGGCATTTTAAGAATTTCGGAGTAAATGAAAAAACTAAGTATCAGGAAAAACTACAAAGGCAAATCGTTAACAAATGCTGATATCCAATATTTATTCTAATGAATTTTGTCAAATTACAAATTTCACTTGTTACACGCTCACATCTCTAAAATATTAAAGTGCTCGTAGCTCAAATGGAACTTAATATACATAAGTTTCAGACAATGTAAAAATTGTATAAACTATATTTTAAACAAAAAATACTTCAAGTCCACTATTAGGAAATAACACTCGATAGGCTTACTCTATTCACTTAGCTTAAGTAAAAAAAAAAAAAAAAAACACTTTCACATGTGTGTGTATATGAAAACAGAAACACAAAGATTTTCTTTATAAAAAAAGGCCCTTGAATTTTAACAGACATATTTCACAAATTCAACACACAAATTCACAATAATTAATTAAATTAATTAATTAAAATTAATATATATATTTTTAGTTAATCAAAAATTTTATCTATGTCCTAAATTATCTTGTGTTATAAAATCATTATTTAGCTTTTATTAGAATTTGTTAAAAAATGAAAAAAATTAATATACATTTTTGTTTTAATTGCTATAAAATGCATCTAAATGTATGTGATTCTATATCATATAGACTTTTAAATACCTTTAACAAGTTAAAAAGTTAAGAAAGTTAAAAAAATAATAATAAGTAAATTTATAATAATAAATTTACTTATTATGAATTTACAATAATAAATTTTATATTTTAAAGATTAATTTAATATTAAATTGATACAACTATTAATTTTTAAATAACATTTAAATACTGTAATAAAAGTTATAGATAAAATTTTTTAACTCTACTAAAATCTAAATTTTAGCATAATAATGGCCCAATTATTAATAATGATCATTTGGCTTAATCTAAACTTTACAAACTATTTAAATAGTTACAAAATAACTTTATAAATTTTGGCATTATATCTAATTTTGAACAGCAATTATAACAGTTCTAACCACTACTAGCAGAAATACTTTTATTTGTCAAATGTTTTCAGCTAACTGAGCAACCATTTTACAATCAAACAATAATGGAATGGAATATAGAATACAGTGATACCTCGATTTTCATTGACTTTGGTTATTGTCAGTTTTGGTTTTCATCAATTTTTTTGCAAAAAATTTGTCTAGTTTTCATTGGCGTGTCCACATGACCTTGCTGCTAATTTTGCAAAAACAAAGGGCAATCCATGCATTTTACTGCTCATTGTGGCAATGTTTCTTGTGTAAGCATTACCCTGCCTGTCTAGACAAACAATTCCATTGCTTTCCTTTCTTTTTTGTTTCATCATGAGACCAAAGAAAGTTTCCAGAGACAGCAGCCTTATGAGAAGAAGGCTGGGAACATGATTGAGTTGAAGAAAAAAAAAATCACTAAAAAATACAAGAGTGGCATTAAGATTGCTGAAATCGGCCACATGTACAGGGACTTCCAGTCAATCACCATCCACAATAAGTTCTAGCCCACCAGTGGCCAAGCAGTTCTGTTCCCTGAACACTGAGAGTTTGGTCGTGGGTTCGCGCCTTGCCTTGACGGGCTGGCCACAGGAGTTTTCTGGGTTTTCTCCACATCTGTAATGCTTGAATAGGGGCCAGTTACCCTTAAAAGACCTCTTGAAAGGCATCCCCTCTAGGCAGATCACCCAAAAGTTGTGTTGCCGTAACTTAACAAATAAACATAATAAGTTCTGTTGTGGTGAAAAAGGAAGCAATAAAGAAGGCTAATGTAGTGAAAGGCATGAATGTGCTAATGAAACAGAGAACACAAATAACTGAAGATGTCAAAAAGTTGTTATCAATTTGGAGTGTCTAGAACAAATTAATTGGATTTACATTGATTCATATGGAATTTAACTGCCTTGGTTTTTGTCAGTTTTGGATTTTGCAGATTGTTTTCAATGGATTATCGACAACAACCAAGGTATCACTGTACATGCAATTTGTGAATCAAAAATACAGAACAACAGTTACCTTTAAATTTTAAAATGACCGAAATTTTTCAATAAAATAAAAAAACAAAATATCGCTTTTGGAAGATGATGTTAGAACAGTTGTCATTGAATGCAAAACACTAGTTTATGGGACTTATTATTTAAATATGCAATAAAAAAATTTTTCTCATCTAAATTACTACTATATGAAATGATTTATATTACATAAACAGCATCATAATAATTAAAAAAATATGTGTGGTTCTAAAAAATGTTTTAAATATCAAATGGGTTCTTACCTGTTTAAATAACATTCCTAATTGTTGATTATGTTTCACACACATTTCAACATCTAAAAGTATCCAAGATTTACCTTGAGACTGTACTAAATCAACCCATGCTGAAGAATCTAAAAACAATTATTTCAAATGTTCAAATACTAATATAAACCTACTATAAAATACAAAACAATTTTTATCAAACTGAATTATAGTAATTAAATATTGCAAGATAAAAATGACAGACATTTAATCTTTTGGTTAAAAACTAAAAACTCATAAATTTAAGTTTTCCAACTTAATTATATTTTAGTTACATAACTAAAAAAAAGCTAGTTGTGGAATTTAATAAAAAATAACAATAATTTGTAATAAACTTATTTTATCAATCTATCAATTAATAAAGCTTATTTAGCTAATCTTTGATTAAACAAACTGACAGAATTCTTATCAAATTTTATCATTCTGCACATTTGATGTTCCATAATCTATGTCAGTAACAGACAACAGGAGCTGAATATGTACAGAATAGTCTAATAAGATTTTTATGACTGACGGAAACTTAAATATTATTTTAATCATTAAAAGAGATATTTAAATGGTATCATAAAAAATTTCCTGTGCATTTAAAGCATTGTTTTTCAACATTCTTACTAAATATAATTATAAAATAAAATAAATTTTATTATATTAACTATAATCTCAGGAGACATATAATCACTAATAAATTTAGTAATATGTTTAAACATTTATGATATCTCTAATATTATGGCATTAGTTTATCAAGTGTTGTGTAATATTACTGTATATTTCATCTTTCAATTTCATTCTTTACAATTAAAAGACTAATATTTTTATAAATTTTTCTACTTTAAATAATGAAATTTTATATATTTCTGAAACTGGGCAAGTTCATAAATATTTGAGAATTGTAGAATTTCATCAAATGGAAATTTTATGAAAATTAATTTGAAAGGTTGGGTCATCAAATGTTTGTATTCTGGAACACTAGAAGTAAATAAAATGATGGCTCCGAGTTTTGGACAGACTGTCTTCAAATTCATTTTCATTTATGAGAATATTAGTTCTGTATTTTTATATTAGCATTAAAAAAAAAAGCAAATATAAACATCTATTAACATGATTTTAGATTAATGCCAAATGATTGCCACATTATATCAGGCTATCATAAGACTACTATTTAATAATTAAATATTAAGTAACTTGGCCTAGAGGTATACGTTAGGCACCATATCTTGATAAATTTACTAATGATAATTAAATTAATATTTTAATAAATTAATTTAGAAAGTTCTGGAAGAAAGAATTAGCATGAAGTAGGACTTGAATCCACAACTTCCACATACCATACAGATGCATTGCCAGTTATGTTACCTAGACCTCCATCAAATCTTTGCTTCCATAACTATTAATAATTTAGATATAACTACAGTAGTTGCTCATGACACTGACTGAGGATGACTTAAGTATTCACTTAACAGTTCCATCATGGATGTTATGAGATGACCAACTTAATGGCACAGAAGGTCTGTTAAAATGGACGCTTAAGTCATATCCAGATGGTGCTGTGAGTAACCAATAAGGTTATATCTAAATTAATAATTGATTTATTGAATTTATTAAAATATTAATTTAATTACAATTGTTAAATTTTATCAAGAGATGGCACCTAATACCAACTTGTAAGCCAAATTACTTAATATTTAATTATTATATAGTAGCCTTGTAGTAGTCTGATATAATCCAGCATTTGTTTTGCACTCATAAAAAGAAAAAAAAAAACAGAACTATAGAAACATGGGACATACAAAAATGTTTCAAAGTTACATTTTAAATGTTGATATTATTTTAAAAAACTTTCTCTCAATACACTAAATTAGTTCTCAAAAAGAAAAATTTATTATAAAAAATAAAATGCACAGATAGCCTTATTATTTATAATAAAATGATAATGAATATCTGATAAAAGGTAAAGTTTATTTTATTCTTAAGCAAAAAAATTAAAGTAAAAGTAAAAATTAAATTGAATGTTCACATAATTTCATTATTTATCATATGATTTACAAGTTTATACCCTTTATAGTCTGATTTATCTCATTTAAGCATAATATAATTGACACAAAAAAATATTTTAATAGGTAATATAGCAACTCATTATATAAACTCATATAAACAATATTCAAATGCAATTAGCTTATTATAAATTATGAAAAATTGAAAAAATTTCTAATAAATATACCTAAAGCCAATGTACAGTATACTTGGCATGAAGAATCTGTTTTAAGTAATCTTGTACATCCAATTACACCAATTTCTAAAGTTCCTTCATTCACTAATTCATCATTAGTTTGTTGAATTACTGGATAGACAGGAGGTTCTGGAAGCGGAAAGAAAGGACGAAATCTCATTTTATAATGTGGAAGAGTATGTTTTTTCCTTAATGTTCGTCTGATCTGTAAAAAAAAAAAATATTTTAAAGAAGACAACAACTGACCCAAACGAACACACCCTCTTCACAAAAAAATTCCAACCAACATCACACTAAAAAAAAAATAAACAAAATAATATTTTAGCCCCAAAGAAAAAGACAAACCTACACCCCCTAACATTCACCCCAAATGCATAATAGAAGAATAAGCTAAAATCCTCTTCAAAGAAATCTGATTAAACCCCCCAAGAGAGCCCACCAAAGCAGAACAAATAACTACAAATTGAAAAACCCCAAAACCACTTACCAAAAACAAAGAAGCCAACTTTTGTCAAGTTAACAAAATAGCACAAGAAAATCAACTCATCCCCTCAATAACAGAAGGAAACCACACATGAAAAGGAGCAGCCCCCAACTTAACTAACAAAGCCAAAACAATAATATAATAAAATTCAAAAACCCCAACAAAAAGAGGAAACAAAGAAGCAACCAAGATCAAAAGAGAAGCCAAAGACTGAACAAAAAAATATTTAATTCCTCTTTCATTTCTCCCCATCAGTCCACCTCAAAAAATGATGGGAAGAAATGAAAGAAGATTTAACTCTAGTCCAACTCAGGCAACAAACCAGGACGAAGCCGTCACCGCTAAAATACTACCCAAAACCAGACCGGAGCCAAACAAAATAATATAAGGAGACAACAATTTAAGGAGATTAACATTTTTGAGATATGAGCCCAATAGCTTAATTTAGCTTACCCTTAAGAAAATAGGAGTAAAAACATAATAAATCCCATCAAGATTTCCCTTTATTCAGGCACCCTATTAACAACGATAAAAATCCTTTTTGGGTTCAAATTCCAACGTGTAACACTCTTGTTAATCTAGTTAGCCCATTCTCACCTCCGCCTCCCATCTACCCCCCCCCAAATCCGAGGTGAGTGCCCAATATCATATTTATTTTCCATTTATTATTATTTCTAAATATACTATCTATTTTGCCCTACTTATATCATTCCTAAATATTATTATCTATTTTGCCGTGTTTATCTTAATCTATATTCCATAAAATAATATATTACATTTATTATTTATGTTAATAAAACTATTCTTTTAAAACTTCTTTTTTTGGAGAGACATGATCACCACTCACTCTTCATTATCTAATATTATTAATCTACTCGAAGAGTAACCCCTATAAGCCCTTATTATTCTTTCTTCCTTTTTAGGATATAGGGGGGGAATACCTTCGGGATGCGGCGCCCCCTCAGGCCCCCCCGGGGGGGGGGGGGCTATCTTGTTTTTCTCATCAAAATCCGTATCTGGAGTATATATACATCATCCAGAGGATGGATAGCATAATTTATAACGCAAATTGGATTTTAAATTTTTGGATTCGTATTCTTTATGGCGCGTTTTTATTATTGTTGAATTAAGAACACATTAAAGGTTTGGGCGGGGATTTTGTGCTGGGGCCGGCTTAATTTTGGCTAAAAACTTTTTTTTAGGAAGATTGGATTTATATTGGAAGATTAAAGATTTTGCGTTTAGGTTCTAATATTATATACTCATTTTGAAGATTTAGTTATTCTTTTAGATCTAGCAAAGATAGTGCCAGCGGCTGCGGTTATACTATAAGATCAAATAAAGTTTATTTATAAAAGGAAANGTCCTGACAGTGTGTCTTGCCAACTTGCTTCGTAATTATTTAGACTTACAGCCCGATAAAGAATCCCACTGTTTGTCTGGTATCACATAAAACACATTATTATTTTAAAAATTTATATCAACATATAATCACACTTACATTATAAAATGATATAGACCAGTGGGTGAAAGGATATCTCGTAAGTTGAAGTCTTGCTTTTCCCTTCAATTTAGTAATACAAACAGAGAGAAATGCTGTGCGACCTAATACCATATCAGCATCCACTGATAACTGAAAACCTCCATCATATTCTATAACAACTGCCATATCAAGTTCCTAAATATACACAAGTATAAAAAGCCATAAGAATCATCGTATAAAAATATTTTTCTGGTTAAGACGAATAACAATAAAAGCACAAGATCTTTTGGGCTGAAATCTATTAAATTAATTTAGTCTCATAAAATAAACTTTGTGAAGGAGATAATTGATATTATTTAATATTTAGCATAAAAGTAAAGCTACTGTTTTATGAACTATTCATACAATACATGATATAATTATAAAAATATTTATCATATAAATACATTGCATATTGCATTATTAATATATNAAAATTAAGAGTTAAAAATTTTTATTTAAATGATTAATTCATCAGGCTCTGACATAAAGACCCAATTTTGTACCAATTAATGATAAATTTACTTTAAATCATGTTCATATCAATTTTAAAAATTAATTACATCATACTAAATAATCTGGTAAGTTCTGAGGCCAAAGAAAACAAAGGCACATGTAAAAAAATTTTTTAAATTTCAGAAACAAATTATTCTGATGACAACTTTCAACTTTAAATATTGCAAATCTATAGCTTTAAAACTTTTTTCTATGTTTCTTCCTTTCAACATAGGTGTATGCAGGATAATATTGGATGTTACTTACACAGTGAGTAATGTTTATGCAATCATCCAAGACAATGAGAATCTCCAAAATTACCATACTTTGTACTATTTTCATCCTATGGACTTGATATGTTCATCATCAACAAGTAAAGTAATGGAAAGATTATGAATGTACAGCATATTTGAAACAGACTACATGTTTTATTATAGCTAACTGATAAGAGTTTAAATATGAGAAAATGAAATTATTAGTTAGATCAAATTTCTATTATTTTTTTTCTTGATTCATTTTACAGTTATAATGCTCTAGAGACTGAGCTTGGTTAATTTAATTAATAGTTTAACTATTGCACATTGAAATAAGATATAATGTTAAATAATGTCTCTGAAAGTATTTAAACAATAATCCAAACATCTCCAGAATAAATAAAATTTCATAGTTTATCATTTTTCTATTAACTGAATAGAGAATAGAGAAAATTTGATTGCTCATTTTACATGTTGATTCCACATCAGAAGTGGGATAAGAGAAGTGACTATCAAAAATTTAAGAAATTAATTCAAGATAAAAATGAATGATTGTCAGTTTAGACAGGAATGAGGTACAGACAAGAAAGAAATCATTAGCTTTTATTTATAGAATGGAAAAATAATAATAAATTTATGATTTATAAAATAAAACTTCATTTGCTTGTTATCAAAACAAGAAAATATTCAAGAAATAAAGAATATATAATAAAACTCTAATTTAAAGTATTTAAAATTTTTACCTCAATTGTTTTTCTTTCTTTATGTAATGAAATATCATTTATTGTAACACTTTTAATTATAGGCAAATTGTTTCCTAATTGCAAATCACGAATCTACAAATAATATAACAAGTTAAATTATTATATATGAAAACTTTATAGTAATTAACTGTTTAGCAATAATCATTCATAACCGCTATAAATTTTCATTAAGAAAATTTGTAAATAAAAAGATGATAAAATATTTTGTTTTCCTTAGTTAATTTCTGTCCATTTCAATAATAATTTATAACAAAATTAAATATTAAAATTCTTTATTGTATTCAAATATTTCAATATTAAATGATTTATAAAATAAGATTTTTTATTTCAAACAACAACATAGAATGTATTATTCATTAAAAATCTTTTACAGTTTTCAAAATTTAATTTATAAATAAAGTAGAAAACTTATTATTTGAATGGAAAATTTTTAAAAATGTGTATACAGTCGACCCCCCTATAAGATATAGATACGTTCCAATTTATTAGGAATCCGATTTCTTACAAGTCGTTCCAATCACAGCCCGACACGTGTCAAGTTTACGGACTACGGCTGATTGAAAGGTTTTCTTCCATAAAATTAATCGATTCTACACTAATCCAACTTAATATTTCCAAAATACGTATATTTTTTCGTAGTTTTACAGGAATCGTAATTATAGGGACTGTAATTATGGGGGGTCGACTGTAGTATTTCAATAAATATATAAAATTTTTGTTAAATTTTTTGAAAATAAAGCAATGCAATTATCATCACTATCTTCAAAAGACAGTTAGAAGGAATACTTATGTGCAAATTCTCTGAATTAGCAAATTATCTGTTTGACACTTTTGTAAAAACATAAGGTAAATGCAAAATTAAAAATTCTTACTGCTATTCGTTCCAATAGTTTTCCTGTAGTTGTTCTTTGTAAATCCAGAAACTCTCGGCTAATTTTCTTCAGAAACCATCTATAAATCAATTAATTAATATAGTATGTTAACAAATTATTTTAATTTTTATTTTAAAAAAAGCAAATTAAAATTTCAATTATATAATTTATCTATGATTAAATATCATATAAAATATATAAAAAGGGATAAAACTTTCTATATATAGCAAATTAATTACTTGAAGTAATAAAGTGAATTCATTTTAAAATATATTTTCACAATTAAGCATTTTTTATGCAAGATATTAATTACAGAAAAATTTCACTTCTTATTAAGAATATCTGTATTTAGTATATCTAAAAAAAAAAAAAAAATAGAAATTACACCTTAAAAAATTATCCTCCTTTGAAACTGCAAAATAATGATTGAAAGAAAAAACATATTATCTAAAAGAAAAATCATTTATTAGATTCCTCTACATTTCCATAAATTCTGTGTTTTAATTCTTCCAAACTTCATTTAACATTTTGTTGTAATACTAAATATCTACAAAATATAAAATACTCTTTATACAGAAATATAAAAGTTTAGTTTATCAAGTACTTTGAAGGAATTGAACTACTCATCATCTCACTATTTTAAAGCTGCTTAAAAACAAAAACGAGCTTACAGATAATAAAACTAAACAACATTAAATTTATAATTTAACAATATATACCTGTTAAACTGAACTACTGATTCATTTATCATATCATATATTCATTAAAACAGATTTAAAAGTATTTCTTAACAATTGAAAATATTTCTCTTATTGTTTGAATAAGCTTAGTCTCTTATTATTTTACATTAACTTCATTACTGATTGCATATTCAGCTAATATTATCATTAAATAATCTTATGCTATTTTTTATTGGTGTACAGTAAATGTATTCATTTTTTTAACCTACTAGTTAGACTTCAGATATATTTAACATTTTATTTAGTCTAATTACAATTAGTTGGAATCATGTGCACATCTGATCTTTCTTTTTATCTTTTTGTTTCTAAATCCTATCAAGTTAATTTTGAGTTTCCTTCTAAATAATCTTAATCTCTTCTAGCATTGAACAGAAACATACTCAGAAAAATAATTAATCAAGTAACTAACACCTTATTTGTTGCCAAGGGAGTTTATTAAAAACTAACGTTTTCAATCTACTGCATAGATCAACTTCAGGTTGAAACATTCGAATTTGGAATAACAAAGAATAGAACACCAAATTCAAATTTAAAAATAGATAAATACTGACAACGTAGCAACTAATTAAAATAAAAATTAAAGCATAAAAATACATAAATGTAAAAGTAAATGTAAAAATGATTTTTATTTGTTAACGAATAGTGGCTTATAATAATACAGTTGTCCCTCTATAGTCTGACGTTTTTTAATCCGACATGCTCAGTAGTCCGACGCACCTCCCGTCAAGGTACCCGTCCCCGTTATGTGTCTGCTTGCACAGAAGCATGTCGCGATGTGAATCTCCCCATCCAATTCTTACTTGATGACACACATTTCGTATGTTTTATGTGAGAAGTTCTGTTCAAACAGTTGGAGTAGAGAATATAGTAAGTTACTGCTAGCAAAACAATGCGAAATATGTAATTATTTTCGGTAATCCGGACACTTTTGGTAATCTGACACACCTTTGGTCCCATACCTGTCGGATTATCAAGGGACAACTGTATTTAATAATTGTATGTTATTTATTTTTACATTTATGTATTTTTACGCTTTAATTTTTAATTAGTTGCTACATTGTCGGTATTTATATATCTTTAAATTTGAATTTGGTGTTCTATTCTTTGTTATTCCAAATTCGAATGTTTCAACCTGAAGATGATCTATGGAGTAGATCGAAAATGTTAGTTTTTAATAAACTCCGTTGGCAACGAATAAGGTGTTAGTTACTTGATCTCTTCTAACATTCTTTTCTTTCTTTTTTTTAAGATTTTTCTTGTATCATTGTCTCCTAATATTGAAATTTTGTTAAATCTTTACTCTGACAGTTCTTGTTTCAAATCAAAACCTTTCTTCATTAATACCTTCTTAATTTTTTTCTGTTTTTCTTGCATCTGTGCCTATTATTTATGACAATTTTGAGAGAAATCTAATAAGTAACTCATTGACTTCCAATAAAAAAAATATAATAGATTTAGTGGTAAATCAGGTTTATTGTAATGCAAAATTCTATATTTAATAATTCATAGATACAATGTATGGTGCACTTTACTGGAGAACTCCTATTTATTATTTTATGAAAAAAAGCTATTTTACATCGTATTAATTGATTAGTACTTTACTAATATGGGACTGTGGAGGCAAGCAATATGTCAAAGTTTGACTGTATTATTAATTAAGTTTAAATTTAAAATTTTTTTCTTTACAAAATAAATTGCTTTTAGTTATTTTTATTCTTTAAAAATAATAATTTATACTTTTAATACATTGTTATAGTTTAAATAATATTTAAAAATTACCTTCTCATCACTTTAGTATCTTTCCATTCTCTGAATAAAAATTGAAACACTAAGTTTAAAGCAAGGCAGCTTTCTTTTTTATTTTTCCAATCACCACCTTCAACATATTTCAATAGTTCCTTATGTAAACATAAAAATTATATGTTAATATATTAAATATTTAATAAATATATTATATGTTTTCAAATAGATGCATAAAATATTTCAATTCTAAACATTTTATTTAAAAATATATTTTTTTTAAGAATTATGTCACAAAGAAATTTTTTAAAACTTTGAATAACAATAGATAGGCCTTGCCTGCAACAACATAAGGCAGCATTAACAAGGGAGAAAGAATAACATTTAATTACAAAATAATTTTTCTTATTATGATTTATTTAAAACTTAAATTACCACATTTTTAAAAATCATTTGAAATATTTTTTATTTTCAATTTATGAACATTTACTGGTATGTGCACAAACTAAGAAAAGTACTACTCAGAAACTATTGCCTCTAGATGGATTTGAACTCAATCCTCAAGGCAATGCCAATGAGAATTTTGGTTCAAACCCATTATATAATTTATCATATACTTAAAAGCTAACTAAAATGTAAATAAAAATCATCTTTCTGACAAGGACAAATTAGTGTTTTTAATGAAGAACATAAAATACTAGTATTATTAATTATTTTTAGTTTTATTGTTTAATTTAGATCTTTTCAAATATATATTTCTATTGTTTTGAAACATCAAAGTCAACAGTCAGGTCAGAAGTTTTCTTGACAATTTTAAAGCTGAAGTTCTTAAAATATGGACAGTAATGCCTGAACATTTATTGAAAGATGTGAAATAATAGTATAAACTTTAAATTTTAATCTATATAATAATTTTTCAATTTCAAAAAAGTTAATTATTGTAAAGCAAATTCAATGAAGCTGGCTGCACCATCATATGTTAAACAGCTAATATAATATTAGTTAACTAATTAAAGATTTTAATATTGATAATATCCAACAACAAGGGAGATTTGAGAATTGATCACTCAACTCTTGTTTGCTATAGAGAACTAAGATCAATAGTCAGTTTCTAAACAGTTCTCTGCAATTCATTATACAGAGATGGAAAAACTTGTCAGTAACAAGACAGTAAAAATGTCTAATAATATCAATTAAAGTATGGATTGACACACACAATGATTAGGAAAAGACAGAAGATAAGACACATACATCTTTGAAAATTTCAAAAAAACAAAAAATTGCAATGGTAGATGCATATGTTTATAGAATGAAAAGAATTTTATATATTTTTAAAGATGTTCTTAGTAACAAATGTTCTTAGTAAGTTTAAACAAAAAAAAAACTGCTGGATGAGTTCATAATTGCAATTTAAAATTAGCAGATAATAATCATCATTGCATAATATGCAACTATTTCAAATTCATTTTTAAATACAGATAATCCATAGGTTATCTACACAAAATTATAGTATTCGAAACAAGTAACAACAGTCTATTCTTAATATTAAAAGCATCACATAAAGAATAATTTGACAGTACAGATAAAAAATAGCTGCCAATAAAAATAAAACAAAATATTTTAAATTTACAAAAGCAAATAATTAAAACATTAGCATAAAAATAAACAGAAATGATAAAAATAGATAATGAGATTAAAGTTTAAATAATATTCATAAAGTGTCAATACGTTTGTTTTAGTATTTATTTTATAGATTTATTCACTAAACATAAATTTGTTTGTTGAAAAAAGTATTGTGGAAAGCAATTTACTTTGTTAACTGTAATGATTAATAAAGTACCAAGTTTCCCATTAATGTATAATTGAGACTGATGTAACTAACACAAATACACTAACCTAATAGTTTGGCCAATAGTTATATTTTACTGTATTCTGGTTTTTAAAAAAAAAAGTAAAATTAGAATGTATACTTTAATTTATCAGGAAAAGAAAGAAATTTATAAAAAATCATTTATAATTAATTTACCATTAAAATATTCAACATGAATACATAATAATAATAATAATATGTTTAATTAAATAGCATTTTTATTCACCTAGCTAGATGGATATTACCTATAGCCTATTGAAGGTCACTTGGAAATTCATTATCCTATGGGAGATTGTAACTTCAAATTTAAGATGCAGGGGGATTTTTTAGCCTTTTTTTGGTCAAAAATTGTATCTTATATGTCATAAAATACAGTAAATTAACACATTAGCATTTGATTACATAATTTATTTTACTGAATTTCCTATAAAAGCAGATTAGCTCAAAACAATGTTTGCCTTGTCAAACACTTATATTTTATAAATTGCCATTCAATAGTTATATATACATCAAGACCAATAAAGATAAAGTCAAAGTAAATTTTTATACTGAAGAAAGATAAATGATCCTAAAAGACACCAGTTCAAAGATAAGATGTAGATTCCTTGGTGCATTTCTAGTGTACGCACAGATTGTTATATCTATATCATTTAATTCAGTAGAAGTTTGTTAATCTGGAATGTCTGATAATCTAGCACCCCTGAAAAGTAGCCAATTATCTAGAAAATTGTCTGGTAATCTGCATGCTTGTACTACACAAATCAGAATTTGTTTGGACATTTGATGTGTTATACCCCAGGTGAAATTGAAATGAAGATAGGGATGCAACCATGCATAATGCTATATATCAGCAGATCAACTGTGAGATTGGAAATAACACAACCTAGCATGTGAATCATTTATAGACAATATATGTTTGGGAAAAAATTGCAGTATATGCACATAAACCATTGTACAAGTTGATTTTGTGCAGTAATGTATTCATTATTATTTTTGAAAATTTTTCAATCTCAACACAGTGTAGTCATGAAACGTATCATTTTTAGATTGATTAAAGAGCATGTATAATGTCAAATCCAAAGCATATAGCAACATGGGCTAGTATAAAATAAACATCAATATCCATAATATTTAGATTATATATAACTTATTGAATTTTTTAATAAAACAAAAATGGGCAGTAATCCATCATCTTCAATAATCTGACATTCCTCTGGTCCTGTAGGTGGCAGATTAACAAACTTCTACTTTACACTTTTATTGTTTATAATTTTTTAATATATTTAAAATATGTAATGTAAAAATATTAGTTGCTTTTAATTAGAAATATAAGTAAATCATACTTCTGGTAATTGGCAAGGTACAACTTCAGGCACAGATGGTGAATCACATATAGGCAATCTCAGGAAGAATTTGTAGATGAGGTAGAACTGGAGTACTATTGTTATTATTGATCCCACACATATAAATGAAATAGCTAGGAATATCATGATAAAATCCAACAATTTTATGGAATATGTCTAAAAAGAAAAAATATTTAAATAAATAAACATATATTAATGTTTATTTATGTATTTATATATATGTTATACATTTAAAATTTATTTATATTCAAGTGTTAAATTTTGATTCAAATTTAAACTTTAATTAAATATTATGAACTAATAATAATTATTAAATATTATATTTTAATTAGAATTAATTAATGAGTTTTTAACAGTGATATCTTGTATGTGGATAATTGCTATTTTCAATATAATTAAAATCTTGAAATAGTTTTTGAAGATATTTGAAAAATCAATTCAAAGATGTTTGTAGTCATAAATGTTAATGTCTAAATAATTAAACTCTGGAAATCTTTTAAATATTTTATTTATTTTACAATAATATCAGTTATCAATTTTCTAAAAATATTTTTACCTAAATTATATAAATATATCAGCAGCTATCTTTAATTATAAAAATAGTTATAATCTAAATTTATAATTAATTAATTTTACATAAATCTATCTTATATNGTATTTATGTTATATTCATTACCACTACAGATAAAATAATAGAATAAAATAATGTATTTTACTTTGTTTTTTTAATAATTTTTATCTATATATCCATATATAAAATATCTATATATTTTTTTAATTTTGATGAATTTTCTAAGCAATTGCTACTGTCATTTTCTGTTTCTAATATCATACATAATTTTCATCTATTATTTTACTTTGTGAATTGTTCAGTATATTTCAAGAATTAAAATTTATTTCTAAAACTGTTTCTGATTAAAGATGCAAATCTGAAAAGTATGCAAAGAAAATGCTAAAATAGAAATTAAGATATTTTTATATATATATATTTTTTAAATATCTTATTTTTATTGAGGTTTATAAGATTTCTTGTTTATGACTTACCAGGTGGACTGGTTAATAATGCAAATTTTGCAATCAAAGAAAACACAATAATTTCCAGAGAAACATCAAAAGTGCTTTATTAAAAGTAATGTCCATTGCTATCTACAGATTTCCCCCATCTTTCAGGTAATTTGTGGATACCATCCCAATAAAACTTTTTTGTTTTGAGGTAAACCATTCAGAGACCCATTTTTCCACTTCTTCATACGTTTTGAAGTGCTGCTCAGAAAGTGCATGTGCCATTGATCAGAACAAGTGGAAATCAGAAGGAGCAAGACCTAATAAATATGGCGGGGGGTTAATACTTCCCAGACAAAATCTTTTAACGTGTCTTTAACTGGTTTTGAAGTGTTTGCTTCATTATCATGAAGCAAAATTACTTTACCATGTCTTCTGGCCCATTCTAGTCATTTTACGATCAAAGCATGGTTCAAATTAATTATTTGATGTTAGTAACAATCAGTATTAACAGTTTCATCTGGTTTTAGAAGCTCATAATCACCACACCTTCTTTATCCCATCAAATGCAAAGCATTGTCTTCTTTCCGAAGTAATTTGGCCTTGCAGTCAATGTTGCTAGTTGACCTGGATCAACCCATGATTTTGTGCATTTGGGATTCTCAAAATAAATCCACTTTTCATCACCAGTTACAATCCAATGCAAAAAAGACTTTCTTTCAAGCTGTTGTAGCAACATTTTACTGATGACTTTTCAGTTTTCCATTTGTCTTTTGTTCAGTTGATGTGGCACCCATTTTCCTTTTGTTAAAATCTTTTTCATTGCTTGTAAACGATCAGAAAGTGTTTGCTGAGCAATGTTTAATCTTTCTGTAAGTTTGACATGCATCTTCATCAATAATGTTTGTAACTGTTGGTCTTCAAACATTTTTGGTTCACCTGAACATTTTTTGTCTTTCATATCAAAATCATCACATTTAAAGCATTTAAACCAACGTTCACAAGTATCTTGAGATGGGACATGTTTACTATAAGCTTCCCGAAGTATACAATAACTTTCAGCAGTACTTTTTCAAAATAAAGTAATGAATTAAAACTTTCTTCAAATGCTTTTTTTGGGGGGGCACAAAATTTGACATTTTTAAGCATAAAAATATCTATAATGTTAACACCTTCAGAAAATTTGACACAAAGTTTTAACGCTTGTTGTCAATACAACAAAATGGCATACATATCAAATTGCATATATATCAACATATGGGTAATGACATCTATTGAACAAAATCTGCATTATTAACTGGTACACCTGGCACATAATAAGCATCCTTATTAAACAAGTAAAATAAAGTTAATTAAACTGTTTTTTATTTACATTTAATTATCCTCTAAGAGGAACTTAAAAGTTTAATATGAAAATAACTCTATCAATTTCAAATTTTAAATTTAAACATAATCAATTCAAAAAATTGATTTTTTTCCTATGCAAATTGTCTATGAAAATTTTGAAAGAAAGAAAAATCATTACACATGTTTTTAATAAAATTGCTACTACTATTGTTAATGTAATTCTTTCTGATATTTTTCAATTTTACATCATCAAAAATTTTATTTGTAATATATTCATGGTAATCAGACATTATCTAATTTAAAATACATAATTTTAATACATAACACAGAAGATAAAACATAATTAAATAGCAAAAATGTTGATTCACTACTTTACTTTAAAATGTACTGTACTTTAAAATATTTACTTAGTAGTATATTATCAGTAATTTAATATTTATGTACATATTTGTTTAGCTTTAGTTGTACATTTTTTATAAAAATACTGTTTAAATTTTATTTAATTTTTTATGTTCAAAAATAATTTGAATATGAAGATATCTTTTTAAGATTAACAATCTTTGTTTCTTATAAATTTTATAGATAATGAAAGTCTGAAATTTCTTCTTTATAGATATTTGAAACTACAAAATGTTTAAAAATATCTAATTATTGATGTTTATTTCTTTTCATATGCTAAACGTTTGTTTTGTATTATAAAATATATTTTTGAGTTTTCATTTGAAGATCAACATCTATTCACAGAGACAACATGAAATACAAATGAGTTTAAAATTCTTTAGAATGTTAGAATTCTAAAAGGCTAATACGTAGCAATACTGTTGTAATAATTCAGTCAATGCTAATTAATAAGAAATAATTCACTCATTAATTGTTAATTAATTAACAGTGATAATAAGACTTGGAGATTGGACATTTTTGGCAAATTTCAAGCTTATCAATTGATGCAAGCATCTATTCTATATATGAAAAATATTAGTTATGCTAAAATCCTTCAAATGCATTGTACTAGAACTAGAAAGCTACTAGAAAGGCACTAGAAAGGGTTAAAATTTCAACTAGTTACCTCTTAAGATGCTTCTCTGCAGGACTGCTAACCAATGCAGAAAAGCCTCAATAATGCTGCTCTTAAGCTTGTGTGCTGTACTAAAGAGCCAAGAAATGTAAACAGAACCTATGCTTACAATGGTTCTGAAGAAACACTAAAAGAATAATCAATACAAGTTTTATACTGTTCAAAAAAGTTCTATTCATAAAACTACAAGATGAAGCCAATGCAATTTTCAGATACAAAAACATTTTAATAATGTTCATTAAAAAGATTAGTTAAAGAAAAGAATTTCTATTTTTGAAATATAAAACCACTCATCCAATATTTTAGAATTTCAATCCTATATATATGAGATTGAAATTCTAAAATATTCTTAAATTGAAATTCTTTTTATATATATATTAAACAATTCATAAGAGTTATAACAGTTTAAGTATAAACTGTTATATACAGTATAACAGTTTGATCTAAGATTTTAAGCTTTACAGTTCAAAAGCTAAAAATATATTTTAAAAAAATTAAAATTCTGAATTTGAATATTCATTTCTTAAATTAGTCATTCTTTTCTAATCAATTTCAAAGACCTGCACAAATGTATAAGGGAAAAAATGAAACAAGTGCATTAATTGCACTTTTTACATCTTTTATTGTACAGTCTTAATTTTAAATTTAAAGATAAAACTAACAATAGATGAAAGGGAATTATCAACAGTTGAAAAACTAATCAAAATGAACATAAATTCAATTCAACAATCAAATTAAAAACTAATTACAAATGATGGTTTGTTATTGACATAAAAAAAATTAATATAGAGTATTAATAAAAATTTTATAGTATGTATGAAATTTTTACTGTCAAAAAGTAGAAAAAAAAATATTCATATTTTTAGTTGCAAAATTAACAAATTATAAAATCTAATACATATATATATATTATTTCTATATATGTTGTATAAAAGTCCTTTTTTTTATATAAGCAATGGCACGTTCAATAAAATTTAACATAAAATTAAAGATTGAGTTTATATCTTTGCATGTATACAATAGATAGTTAATAACAACATGTGATACTTACATAATATAAAATCATAAAATTTACAGGAATTACAATAGAGAAAAAAATAATATAATGATAAACTTACATAAACTAAATGTTTTTAAAAATCTTATCAAGTAAAATGAGATAAGATGATAAATAAGCAAAAATATAGTTGGGAGATTACATGATGAAAATATCAGAAGAATAAAAAAAAATTGAATGAAATACATCAAGATGCTAAGCAAAAGTTTTAAGGAAGGAAAAGGACCATATGAAATTAGTATTAACTAATTTAGCCTTGACTAATGATTATGAAAAAGCAATATTATCTATTCAAGAATAAATATTGAAACATATTGTATAAAGTGAAATATTTAATATACATTCTATTTATTTAAATTGTATCATATCATTAAATTGAATATTTATTTATTTATAAATATATTAACAATACTAAAAACTTTAAAAATTCCATCTTGAAAATTAATCTTACATATTTAGACTAATTCTGGTAAATTATTTATATAAATTATTAACTTACTAAAATTACAAAAAATTAATAGAAAAATTGTTTTAAGTTAGTAACAGAAATTCTTTTAAGTGAGAAAATTATGACTTAAAGTTGAAATGGGTCAAAATTATTCTGATATAAATACATGAATATAATTAAAAAATTACTTCTTGAATTTTCTTTAGTTTAAAAGAACTTCTGTTAATAATAGTTTAACTTCTGTGATAAAGACACTTCTCTTTATTGAAAATAAAGTTTAATAATTTATTGATAAACAAACAATAATAATGACAAAAGTAAGAACAATGCAAATTTTATTGGTAGAATATGTTTCTATGACAACCATGTTTGAACTAAAATTTTTTTCTCTAGAACAGTGGTTCTCAACCTTGTTCCATGGAACATAGTTGTTCCACAATCTTGGCCAGAATATTCCATAAAAAAAAGTAAAAAAAAAACAATTTCAAAGTTTTTATTGCAAATTTATTCCAATGTACTACTACAATACCATTACTTTATTTGCAGATGTTTACTATTTTATTCAATACAATAAAATTTATAGTTTATTGCTTCATTGTTTCATGAGAATTGCAAACATGGATTTGTGTATCAATTTTTAAATATATTGATGCTAAATGTAATAAATATGATGGTGTTCTGTAGCCTCAGAAAGGTTGAGAACCACAGAACAATCTGAAATTTTAATGGTCAAATGATGGAGTTTTATATTCCAATTCCACACAACATTAGATACTTCTGGTAATCCTTTTATAAATAAGTATGGCATATCTTTCAAAAGTTGTTTAATGAAATTCAATGTGATCCAAATTTTCTTGCCTAAAATACTAAAGATAGAAATATGCTTATAGAAATGCAGCAATGGGATTATAATTCTCTAATAATACTCTACAATGCAAATTTCTTTATGTTAATTTTTAGTCATGTAAAACATCTGTTGTAATGTAATTCAAGAGAATCATCAAAAATATTAACATTAAAAATATCAATATTAGTATATAATACTAATTAGTAATTACATACTGATGTTCACATTACAATATCAATATTAGCATACAATGTAATATATCCTGAATCCTTTTTATAATTTTAATAATGTTACATAATTTAACAATTTGAACAAACTCAAAATTATGTTTAATATTTAAAATTTATGTCATTAATGTATTTTTTACCTCCCTCTTTTCACCCTTTGGATACTAAGAAGTCATATATATCATAATTTGAAAAAATTTATAATTTAAAATCCATTGTTTTAATACCTTTCTTCATATCATACCCATGGAATTTGTAGAAAGTCTTCAATTTAGGAGTTCAGTCTTATTCTAAATTTTAAAAAAATTACTATTAAAATCTTTATATAACAATATTATGAATAAAATATTGAAAATTACATTTAAAAATAATATNAAATACAGTAAATTAACACATTAGCATTTGATTACATAATTTATTTTACTGAATTTCCTATAAAAGCAGATTAGCTCAAAACAATGTTTGCCTTGTCAAACACTTATATTTTATAAATTGCCATTCAATAGTTATATATACATCAAGACCAATAAAGATAAAGTCAAAGTAAATTTTTATACTGAAGAAAGATAAATGATCCTAAAAGACACCAGTTCAAAGATAAGATGTAGATTCCTTGGTGCATTTCTAGTGTACGCACAGATTGTTATATCTATATCATTTAATTCAGTAGAAGTTTGTTAATCTGGAATGTCTGATAATCTAGCACCCCTGAAAAGTAGCCAATTATCTAGAAAATTGTCTGGTAATCTGCATGCTTGTACTACACAAATCAGAATTTGTTTGGACATTTGATGTGTTATACCCCAGGTGAAATTGAAATGAAGATAGGGATGCAACCATGCATAATGCTATATATCAGCAGATCAACTGTGAGATTGGAAATAACACAACCTAGCATGTGAATCATTTATAGACAATATATGTTTGGGAAAAAATTGCAGTATATGCACATAAACCATTGTACAAGTTGATTTTGTGCAGTAATGTATTCATTATTATTTTTGAAAATTTTTCAATCTCAACACAGTGTAGTCATGAAACGTATCATTTTTAGATTGATTAAAGAGCATGTATAATGTCAAATCCAAAGCATATAGCAACATGGGCTAGTATAAAATAAACATCAATATCCATAATATTTAGATTATATATAACTTATTGAATTTTTTAATAAAACAAAAATGGGCAGTAATCCATCATCTTCAATAATCTGACATTCCTCTGGTCCTGTAGGTGGCAGATTAACAAACTTCTACTTTACACTTTTACTGTTTATAATTTTTTAATATATTGATACTATGTTTTGAGTAATAAAAAAATATATGAATGGTGTTCTGTAGCCTCAGAAAGGTTGAGAACCACAGAACAATCTGAAATTTTAATGGTCAAATGATGGAGTTTTATATTCCAATTCCACACAACATTAGATACTTCTGGTAATCCTTTTATAAATAAGTATGGCATATCTTTCAAAAGTTGTTTAATGAAATTCAATGTGATCCAAATTTTCTTGCCTAAAATACTAAAGATAGAAATATGCTTATAGAAATGCAGCAATGGGATTATAATTCTCTAATAATACTCTACAATGCAAATTTCTTTATGTTAATTTTTAGTCATGTAAAACATCTGTTGTAATGTAATTCAAGAGAATCATCAAAAATATTAACATTAAAAATATCAATATTAGTATATAATACTAATTAGTAATTACATACTGATGTTCACATTACAATATCAATATTAGCATACAATGTAATATATCCTGAATCCTTTTTATAATTTTAATAATGTTACATAATTTAACAATTTGAACAAACTCAAAATTATGTTTAATATTTAAAATTTATGTCATTAATGTATTTTTTACCTCCCTCTTTTCACCCTTTGGATACTAAGANTGCCAAAGCATAAGAAAGAATTTTTGCATTCTTGAATCATATCTCAAAGGCAAAAGATGGCGCGGAGATATGAAACCATGGAAGAAACAGAAGTACTTCTAACATTGCTACGAGAAAATTATCAACAAAACAGAAATAATCAGACAGAAGAGCAACTTGAAAATTATAGGGGAACACATCAAATCAGAGAAAGATTATGTAGAGGAAGAGAAACAATCTTTTAGATAAAAAAACTATATTACATATAAATGTACAAACAAATAAAATTTTTGCCCAGTGAAGTGGGTACTTGTAGCTAGTATATTATAAAAAATCTGATTCAAATATTATAATTATATGAAAAAAAATGAAGTTAAATTCTTATTGCAATTAGAACAAATTTTAATAAAGCTCTATGAATAGAGAGAGATTCACTAACATGCTACAAAATCCCAATATTAAAAAAATTTTTTAATCTAATTATTACATTAATACATTAAAAGTAAAGTATTTAAAAGTATATATACTTGTATATATACTTTTAAACATTATAATCAAATTAAAAATTTTTAAAGTTTTTATTTATAGTAAAGTATAAAAATTTTGTTCAAATATGATAAAATAAATTTACAAATCTATCAACTTAAATCAAATAATAATAATTTATATTATAAATAGTTATTAAATTTAAGAGTTTATTTATTTTGAAAGTTTTTTTTTAAACAAACTTAATGATTCATATTTAATTTTGTAAAAATTATTTTATATAAAAATGTTTGTACTTTTTCATAAAATACAAATATTAAAACAAAAATACTTTTAAAATTCATATAAAAATGTGCCATTTTTACACACAAATCTTTAACAAATTTTAAAAATCATAACTATAAATTCTAAAGAGAAAAGTTATTTATGAAAGATAAAGTAATTTATGCTTAAATAGTAGTAATAAAAATAAATTTAAAATTTGATGATGTGAATTATTTCTTTAGAAAAAGAACATTAGTCCACACCAACACTTGTCTAGTCAGATAATTATTTCTTCAGGAAGGAAATACCAAACATTAACAGCATAGAAACTACAAATCAGTTCCAAAGTATGATTAAAATTTGATGTTAAAAATCCATTGTGATTTTTATTAAAGTGACTACAGTCAGAGCTTTCTAATCTGATCCTCTATAATCCAACTAAAAAGCTCAGCCCCATCTGTGGACTCTGTAGATAAACTGTGTGCTCCAGAACTAACATGGACCATCTTTTTTGAAGTCTCACTCTATTCTCTAATCTGAATGACAGGTGTTTTTGTCCTAATTTGCATGATTTTTATTTATCTTTCCTCATCCAGTATAGAGTATTCGATAGATATAGTGAATAGAAACAATAGAAATTATTCATTTGCAAAAATAATCTGTTGTGCTAATGTCTCATCCTCGCTGGATGAGTAACCCATCACTAAATGAAATTATGCATGCCGCACGTGGCTATCTTTAACCTAAAGTAGTCAGTCTGACTAACTATGCTTCATTGAATAAGCATATGGTTATGAGAACTACTGTACAGTACTATAGTAGTGTACTGGAATTGCTAGAATCATACCACACTAATCAAAAACATAATTGATTCTGTTGAGACTAATGAACATACTGTATTATTATTCAAGAATGCATTAACAAATTTAAATAATCAGAGCCAATAAGTGAAAATGAATAAACATTGATGAAGAAATAGATTCTGACAACAGTGTAGATGAGATTGTGAAGATGTAGAAGAATGTCAACCAGAAGATATGAAAAACCTTTTTCAGAAGCTTTAAAAATACAAAAAATTTTTATTGCAGTTTTTTCAGCATATGTCAAAAGATCATAAAAAGAATATTGCAGCATTTCAGAAAATGAGGTTATTTATTAAAGATTATCATCAACAAGGATTAAAATAAACCAGTATACTGTAACACATTTTTTTTCAAAAGTAATACAATAATAAATAAGCCTAAATATTTATTATTCAGAACTTTGTTAAGTTGAAAAATAACAGAATAAAGGGATAAAATCAACTCTTGCTACATAACAATAAGTTGTTTTTGAAAAATGGTCACAAATGTATTTGAAGAACTCTCACTTTTTTGACCATCAGAAATCACAGTCTCAAGTTGGTCAGATTAGAGTTCTGACTTATATTATACAAGATGTTTTATGATTGAAGATCTGATAGAAACATCCAAAATATCTAAACATCAAAGAAATATGAAACAGAATCATCTTTTTAAACTGGTTTATTAGTAGAATTAAATTATACACAAAACTCTAATCATAAAAACATATCACTGAAATTATTTCCAACAAATATGATTCATAGATGACCAGACAATAAAAACAAATCCACTCAATGATCATGATAAAAGGAACCAAAGTCCAAGAAAATAATATCAAAAGCTGCTAGAAATTTTTTGTTAACAAAATAGCTCATTATTGATTTATTATCTATTCTAAAGAATTAGGCATTTTGTTTTGGAATTAAGAAAAAATTAGAAGTACAGGCTTATGAAAAACTGAAAATTAAAAATATTTGACATTGCGGAGACAATTTAATCCGAATGCAACAAAATTTTAAAAAATGTAGAAAAACAGTGTTAAGATCTATTTTTGAATATATAAAATAAAAATAATGTTATATTATACAAAAATTACATTTATTTTTGAATAATAATTATATACTTTTATTTAAAAAATGGTTTTTTTCTTTCTTGAGTAAGTTTAGAAATTCTAGAATGTATCATGTAAGTAAGAAAATTAAAATTTTATAATACTATTATTTGTTTGTTAAATTTTTATTTTCAAATACTTCATTAAACATTTTTTAAAAATTAATCTTTCAAATTCCAAATTAATAAATTATATCAATTTTTTAACTTATAATACTGAAAATCTGGATTAATTAGGAAACTAAATGTACAGTTAATTTAAATTCAAATTTATCAATAAACTACAATACAAATTCAATAGAAAATCAATTATTAGTATTATCATCACCAATACTACAACTATATTAATTTTTAACATAAAAACTGAAAACATTTTGTTCATGAACTTTATCAATTTATATAGTTATCAGTTTTATGACTTCACATAGAAAATAATAACTCCGTAATCCAATTATAATACAAAATACTCATATAGCAAATTACTTATATTTTTTCAACAAAAATGTTTTCAAGTCATTCTGATTCATCCCCAACTGATTTTATAGTAACAGACAGATCAAATAATAGTTTCTAATTTGAAATAAATTAAATTTAAATGTGAATTTTTAAAAGCATATTCTAAAAGAAATTTTAGAATTTTACTAAATAGCCAACATTTATCAATAAATTTTTGTGTTAATATAAGATGTTCGTTTTATATAATGACAA